ACTTTACTTTCTTATAACAAATGTGATTTATTTGTAGTTTGCTTTTGCTTTGCCGTGAACATAAAAGAATTGAATAATAATGGCCCATATGGAACTTGTCTCCCATTCTTCTACCCCTGTATCCATAACACCTACATAGGGCTAAGTACCCAATGACTTTAACAATTCTTGCTGGTTGAATGATCATTGTAAAGATGGAGTGAAGATGTCTTGTTACGGAGTTGCAGAATTTTGCACTGAAAATAAATTTAGAGATGATCTAATCCAGTACTTCCTAAATTGGTGTTCCATGAAATATTTCTTCTTCTTCTTTTAAATATGTTTTTATTTATTTCAGAGAGAGGAAGGGAGAGGGAGAGTTAGAAACATCAATGTTGCAAGAGAATCATTGATCAGCTGCCTCCTGCATGCTCCCTACTGGGGATTGAGCCTGCAACTTGGGCATGTACCCTGACTGGGAATGGAACCGTGACCTCCTTGTTCATGGGTCAATGCTCAGTCACTGAGCCACACCGACTGGGCAATATTTCTTGTTATGATATTAATAGCATGCTGCCATAAATGGTTGGGGCTCAAATAAATGTGGGAATCTCATGTTAACAAAGTTAATCAGATGTGCTTACTGTGGGGCTTCTTGGAGACTTTACTATATCTCTAGTAATCAGTGATTCCTGGAGCATTCTTTGGAAAACACTGATCTAGTCTACTCTCCTCATCTTACAAATAGGGAAAGAGAGACTCTCTGGAGCCTGTTCAGGTATGGATGGTGAGAAACTAGAAAGGACCTCAGGATTCTGGAGCACCAAGCACCTGCATTATTTCAAACCCGGGGCAAGAGGTGGGGTGGGAGTCAGACACAAGCATCTCCTGTGCAGATCTTTAAAGGTTTTCTGATCCTTAATAAACCTAAGAAGTGGGCTCAAGTGTTGGCTGGAGCTAAAGAAAATTTAAACAGATATAGACCATGAGTTTCAGTGGCATAGTGATCCCAAATTGAGCAATGGCAATGTGATTATACACTCATTCACATTTGTCAGTGTTTTCTAATAAATAAATAAGTATTTCACCTTTTATTTGATTCTCATAACTATCTAAGGAGAAAGATAAGGATGGGATTATTATCCCCATTTTATGACAGAGAAAACTGACTCTCAGAGAGTTCCCTGTACTTACACAGCAGGTGAATGGCAGAGTTAGAATGAGAATCTAAATTTCCTGTCTCTCAGGTTAGGGCTTTTCTCACTATATCACATAAACTGGGCAAATTTTGACCGAGTACAAATTTAATTCTTTAATGACACATTCAGTCTGCTCCAACTGGCTCAATTAAAAATAGGATCAGTTCTCAGAGTGCTCATAGATGGTGGCAGAAGCAACATCCCAATTACTGGAATTTTAAGGTCCTATTTGGGTTCAGTATATTAGTACTTCTTGTAGAGTTATGTTGCCAGGAAGAGGGGCTCATAGAAAATTCCTGCTGGGGAGGCAGCATGGTCTATTTTTACAAGCAAGGAGTCAGATAGACTTGGTTTTTAATCCTGGCTCTATCACTTATTCTATGATCTTATTCACTGTGCAACCTTCAGTGCTTCATTTCTTCACTTGTAAAGTGGAGCTAACAATATATATTTTGCAAAGCTGTTGAGAGACTAACGAAAGGAATTAGAGGGATAGCATAGTGTCATGGTCAAACCTGTAAGCTCTGGAATTATACTACCTGGGTTTGAATCTCAGCCCACTTCTTGCTAGCTGTATAACTTTGGATAAGTCACTTATTAATGTCTCAGAATTTCAGTTTTCACATATGTGAAATGAGGAAAATAAATAGTGCATTCTTGGTTGTTGTGAGCATCAAATGAGATATTTGTTAAGAACTTGAGCACAGAGAGAGCGCTCTTTCCCTTTCCTCCTAAGAGCAGAGCTGTCTAGACGGGCCTCCTCACAGCTGTGCGGCTTCACAGCCATGCTGCTTCCTAGTTGAACTGTAGCACGCTTGAGTTCTTCCGTAGCTGGGCTGTATCACAACGGAGCTGTTTGCGCTCTAAGGCAGAAAAAGGAAACCTGAATTTCTAGAGTTAAGTTTACTCATTTCAGAATAGATGGACTTCAAGGACTCTTCTAGCTTTGAGATTATTTGACTCTGAAATTTCTGTTCAGTGCTCATGGTTGATTCAAGTTCTTTATGTTTTCTGACACAAATATTTCTCTCGCCCTTCATTCTTCTTAGTGGTACATAGCCACTGGCCAAATTCTCCTTCACTGTCATAGACATCTGCATCAGATATTCAATTTGGCAAATATTCCTAATTGCAGAGATGATGGCCTAACAAAAATGTCAGCAACAGCATAGGAATTGCCCCCATATTGATGCACAGCCAGGGGCCACGCAGGCAATCATTGTGTCTCCGGGTGTCATTTACAGAATGTCCTGGGGGAGAGTATTGGTACCCTTACTGATATCCCCAGACATTCTGGTTAATGACATGTCTGTTTCATCTGGAAGTTTTTAAGGAATTACACAAAGTTTACTTTTTGCCTTGTTACTTTCCCCCTCCTATTGTTCTTCGCTGACCACAGACTTCATTTCATCCAGTTCTTCCTCCCATCCCATCCCTCCTTAAAAATAACTTTTGTGTGCTGCTGATTTCAAGTAAATTAAGTTCTAATTGAAATAATTTCCCCCCTACGGTTTGAATGCTCAGCCAGCTTGACACTCTCAAGGAGAATTTGCTTTTTCCATTGTTGTTAATCAAAATAAATCCCTAAATAAGTCATGAGTCATTGTTATCAGCGAGTGTGTACATATCCCTGAACTTTTCGGGGGCAGAAAAAAGGACTGAGAATCTGTTTAAAAGATTCTTGAAGAAACAGCCTTAGTTTTTTTTTTTCTTTGGAAAACCCTGCTCTCTCATTGTATCCTCATTTCCTGGAACACAGTGCACCTGTTTTTACTATTAAGCTCTTTAACGTGACTATGTAGTTATTGAAAGATTATAATGAGTTCAGTTCTCAATGCTTTTTTTCTCTTAAAAGTTTAGTTTTCTAAAATCTGACTTTATATCTAAAATATATGAAATTCCCACTCTTTCCCTGGTTTACTTTCTCTTTGTCACTTGTCATTTGCTCTGAAATTTGTCAGAGTGCTTTGAAAATAGTAAATGGCTGTACTAATCTAAGGGGATATTTTTATTACTGGCTGGTTGGTTGACGCTGGCAGAAACGCCAGTGAAGGTTGAATCGTCTTCTCCATTTGTTCATATAAAAACTTGCTAGTTCGTGGACATAGTTGGTATTTGTAGAATCTTTTACTTGGAGATTCTGATGCACTGACCAGATAGTAACAGCACTTTCTTGGGGTTGGGCGGAGGAGATTGTCTAGTTCTCCTTGGCAAATCTATGACACTTGTTACTAACATGTTGGATTTCCAAGCTCATGAGGATTTATTAATGTTTATCCCTTCTGTGTACATTATGTCATGAATCCATGTTTCTCAGCTATGAGCCTGTTACAGTTATTCCTACATCATTTAATCTCAAATATTTAAGAGTTGGTGAACTAACTTTAATATATTAGAATGGGATTTCCTACATTTCAACTTTTTTTCACATAATTGATCATTTATTCTGGGATGTCAATCGTTTCTTCTTCCTGCTCAAGTGGGATTGACTTATGTTTCTGTCCTCCAGTTTAAGGATAGTCCATAGTTCACCAGTTTTTATGTGGTCCTTCTAAAATAGTAGGAACTAATTAATGACAAACGTGCTAGGTAGAGTCTTAGGATTAGTCATAGATGGTTCAGATGTGTGTAGGTGTTACCATTGTCCACCTAGTAGATCGTGTAGGAGAACACAGAATGTCATTAATGGCAGTAGAGGGTGCAAGAGCCCATTTAGGTTAGAAGTCAAACAACACTTGCAACCTCTTAATATGTCGTACCATGGAGAGCTGCCCCACTTTTACTTGGTTAAGTCATTGCAAGGTTATCTGTGGCCCTTTGGTTACTTTTTTTCTTTGTATTTTCTAACCTTTTTTCCATTTTGTTGTTCATTCGATTAACATTTTTTTTAGAAGGCTGGTAGATAAGGCAGAAAATATAAAACTAAAGCATTCAATATAGCTTTTAGGAATTAGTGACTGAAAACATGACAGCTAGAGGAACCTGTAGAACAACACTTGGGATATAATCAGCAAGATCCAGACTGTTAGAGATTATATCGGACCTGGCTTCGTCACAAATATATGACAGGAAAAGGCGGGAAAGCCTTTAAATCACAAGAGATTTAAGACATCTATTAGCTAAATATAATGTGTGGACTTTCTGATTTAAACAAATCAGCTTTAAAAAAAAAAGATTCCTGGCCATTGGAAAATTTTGTACACTGTCTGGATATTTGTGATATTAAGGGATTAGTGGTTAATATCTTTAAGTGAGGTAATGATATTTTAGTAATTTAATTTTATGAGAATTTTGATTTCTTATCTAAAGGAGCTTAACATTTTTTAATAAACCCAAAACCTACATTCATGAAACATCTTTCTTTAGTTATACCTACCATTCTTAAAAAGAAAAAAAATAAAATAAAAGAACTTGAGCACAGTGGTGGTGGTAGTAGTGGAAAATCCAACACCAATTTCTCTCCCAAAGCAAAAATAAGAAAGTTACTTAGTCCTGTTCTTTTCCATTTACTCTTTTCCCTCTTTTCTCTCCAGCTAGAAGTTGGAGAGGAAAGAACACCAGACTAGAACACCAGACTAGAAGTCAGAACACTTGGCTTTGAATATCAGTTCTGTCACATGCTATTTATGTGATTTTAATAACTTCCTTGAGGTATTTTTCCTCACCTGAGACATTAAATTAACTATATGTAGTTTGCTTACTGTACCAGGTTGTTGTAATGAATTTATGGATTTTAAGGCACTTCATGAACTACGAAACATTATACTATAATGTGAAGGATGACTTTTTATCTACCACAGACTATAAGATAGATGTTTTTACCAGTAAAAAGCAATTTTGTCACCAAGTTTTTTCTCGTGGACAATTCGATCCAGTACGTTGTAACAGATGTTGGTAGTTGCTCCTTTCATCCACTCAATGAATATTTTTCCTTTAGTCACATCAAAGTTGTACTTGAGGAATGGGCCAGGACAAGGGGTCTTCCAGTAAAATTCCTTGGCAATGTCTCCCCAAAACTCTGCAACAGAAAGAGAAGCCCAACATCACAAAGCTTCTCAGACATATTTATCCTCAGATGTCTTGCCAGTCTATGCACAGGACCAAGTCACAACTTCCCTGCCTTGTACTCTAATACCTACCACCTGGGCTCCTTCCTCTACCTGTCTAATCTTATCATCCACCACTCTCCTAACCCTCCATCTATTCCCATGAGCTGAATCTTGACTCAAATTTCTTTTTTCTCTCCTCAAAAATCCCACTTCATTTTTTGCCATCTATTCAAATTGCAGCCACCCAGGGCTTATCACAATGCCTAGCACAAGGTAAGCAATTTTTTTAATGAATTAATTAGTGAAAGGAAGAAATCCTTTACCCACAGAGCTTCCCATGACCATGTCATTGTCTTAATTTGTACACTCACTCTCAGCAATTATTTAGTGAATAGCTTTTTAAAAAAAAAATTTTTATTGATTTCAGAGAGGAAGGGAGAGGGAGAGAAAGATCAATGATGAGAGAGAATCATTGATTGGCTGTCTCCTGCACGTCCCACACTGGGGATTGAGCCCACAACCTGGGCAAATGCCCCAATTGGGAATCGAACTGGGACCTCCTGATTCATAGGTCGACACTCAACCACTGAGCCACGACAGCCAGGTTGCTCTTTAGTCTATTGTTACTTGCCCAAGTGTTACCTGTTCTGTGCCAGATGTTGCTTTAAGCTCTTCATATTATTTCATTTAGTCCTTACCACAGTCCTAGGAGATGGCCTTATTTTCATTATCCTTTTATTGATTTAAAATTGCCCAAGGTGCCCTAGCCAGTTTGGCTCAGTGGATAGAGTGTCAGCCTACGGACTGAAAGGTCCCAGGTTCAATTCCAGTCAAGAGCACATGCCTGGATTGCAGGCTTAATCCCCAGTGTATGGCGTGCAGGAGGCAGCTGATCAGTGATTCTCTCTCATCAGTGATGTTTCTATCTCTCTCTCCCTCTGAAATTAATTAAAATATATATATGTGTATATATATATATTTTTTAAATTGCCCAAGGTTATAGTTACTAAGCCAAGACTTGAACTTCCCTGAGGAAGATATTTTTGCTAAAATCTGAAAGATGAATAGAAGTTTTTCTTTACTCCCCCACAAGGAAAGAGAGTACTATGGGATGGAAAGGAACCAATGGTATACTGTTAAGGGGAACTCCTTAAGGCTGAAGCACTGAGAATCAGAGAAAGAATAGCAGGAAGTGATGCATAAAGTGAGCAGATCATACAATCTTTCTGGGCATGGTAACGAACTTGGTATTTATCCTAAGAGCAATGGAAAGTCATTGTAGGATTTTAAGCAGGAGAGGGACATGATAAAATTTGCAATCTTAAAATATTTGTCTGAATCTCTGGAGAAAATGTAATCAACAGGTAAAATATATAATTGCAGAGCACTTAGGATATTCTCAGTACTGAATCAGGAGCTAGAGGAGAGAAAGACACCTAGAACCATAACAATGGAAGGAATTTTAGAGAGTATCATCCCCTCATTTTAGTGTTAAGAAAACAAATTCAGCCCTGGCTGGTATGCTCAATGGTTAGAGTGTCAGCCACGCACCAAAGGGTCTTGGGTTCGATTCCGGGTCTGGGGCATGTGCCTGGGTTGCAGGTTTGATCCCCTGTGCCAGTAGGAGTACATGTGTGAGGCAACCGATGTACATGTCTCTCTTACATCTCTCTCTCTCTCTCTTCCTCTTCCTTCCCCTCCCTCCCTTCCTTCTACTCTCTCTAAAAATCAATGGGGGGAAAATATCCTCAGGTGAGAAAAAGAAACCAAATTCATAGATGTAAAGTGACTTGCTCAAGGTTATATGATTCAGTTTATACAATGTACATAGTTGGTTTTGAATGTATAAGACAATGTAATTGCTTGCATAATGTACCATTTGCAATCAATTAAAGAAATCCAAATTAAATCATCCTAAGTGCCATTATCTATATATATAAAAGCCTAAGTGACCAGTTGACTGGTAGCTATGACATGCACTGACCACCAGGGGGCAGACACTCAACGCAGGAGTGCTGCTCAGCCAGAAGCCGGGCTCATGGCTGGTGAGCCCTAGCTTGGGCTCCTCCCCGGCCGCCTACCGCTTCACGCACTGCTACATGCCCCAAGGGGTCCCGGACTGTGAGAGGGCGCAGGCCAGGCTGAGGGACCCCACCGGTGCATGAATCCATGCACCGGGCCTCTAGTATACCTATAAAAACTAGCAAAGATTTAAAAAAATTGAATCTAATGCCTAAGTGGCCTTAGGAAACAGATAATCTTATATAATAATGGCATTGTAAGAAATCAGTACAATCTTAGTGGATGACAGGGCAATTCCTGACAATAGCCATAAAAATTTATATACCTTTTCATGTGATAATTCAACTTTGGGGAATACACTCCAAGAAAATAATCCCAAAGGAAAAAAGTGATTAGTAAAGAGATGTTTATAGACCACTATTTATGCTAGTAAAACTGGAAACAACCCAAAAACCCAACAATGAAAAAAACCCAAACTGGTGAAAATTAGTAATACTAGTAGTAATACAATAGACTACTAAATGACCATTAAGAAGAAAGTGAATGAGAACTGGCCTTTTAGTGAATGCCATTCATGTACCAGGGACTGGGCTAATCTCTTTTAATCTTTACATGGCCCTATGAAATAATCATTAATTATCCTAATTTTATAGATGAGAAAACTTAAGCTCAGGAAACACAGGAAAGTCTCCCAAGGACCACACAGCTAGAAACCAGAATACAAAATCAGATCTGACTCTAAAGTTCATTTGCTACATCTATATTGAGTACATGTGTACACTCAAAAATGTTTTAAGTGATAATAGTAGACACAGAGAATGTAAAACTAGTTATGAACTGCATTTGTGTCCATCAACAAGAAGTGAAGAAAACTGAGTTTTATAATCACTTAGTTTTGTTTTTCAGTTGTTTTGGTTTTATTCTTGGGTGGGGGATGCAGAAATTTGGATGTTTCGTTGTACACATTTTAAGTACTGACGAAGTTCAGAAGAGGAAAAGATGAGCACAGACTCAGATAATCAGGGAATGTTTTGTGGAATTGGTGGGGTTTGACTACAGGAGCAGAAGGAAATGGGCAAAAGCAAGAAGGTGGGAAAGGGACTTTTGGGTGTTCAGTATATCAATGAGAATGACTTGTCTAGAATGAGGAGTGTAGTAGGGAGTAGTGGGAGATAAGGATAGGGAGGTGGAGTGGGGTTAGTTATCCAGAGACCTTGAAAAAAAGAATTTTTATTTGAAACTGTGGAAAATAGGAAACTATTAAAAGTTTTTCAAGTGACATAAGAAGGCAGTGTTTCCAGAATATTGATCTAACAGTGTCTAGATAAATATATCAAAAATTGAAGGTGGGTGAGACTAGGAGGAGAGAACCAATTAGGAGGCTGCTTCCTTGAACTAAAAAGGTCTATGGAAATGGGAATAAAGGTAATCTCAGAGGCATTTTGAAATAATGTTTGACAGAATTTGGAGAAAGACAGATTGTGGAGTCAGGGAAGAGGAATAGCATAGCTCTTAGGAATATAGGTTCTTCAGGCAAGACTACCATGGTCACAAGGATGTAAAAAACCTGTACATAGAAAATTATGACACTGAAGAAATTGAAGAAGATACAAATAAGTGAAGGCATATACCATGTTCATGGATAAGAAGAATTAACATAATTAAAATGTCCATACTACCCAAGCAATCTATAGATTCAACGTAATTCTTATTAAGATACCAATGGTGTATTTCACAGAACTAGAAAAAATATTCCAAATATTTATATGGAACCACAAAAGACCCGATTAGCCACAACAATCTTGAGAAGAAAAAAAACAAAGTTGGAGGAATCACACTATCTGATATCAAACATAATTTCAAGGCCATAGTAATCAAAACAGCCTGGTACTGGCATAAAAACAGATATATAGATAAATGAAATAGACTAGAGAGCCCAGAAATAAACCCACACCTTTCTGGTCAACTAATATTTGACAAAGGAAGCAAGAACATACAATAAGGTAAAGATAGTCTATTCAATAAATGGTGTTTGGAAAAATGGACAGATACGTGCAAAAAAATGAAACTAGACCATCTTCTTACATCATACACAGAACAAATTCAAAATGGATGAAAGACTTAAATGTTAGACTCAAAACCATAAAAATCCTAGATGAAAGCATAGACAGTAAAATCTTGGATATTTCTCGTAGCAATATTTTTTCTGATATATCTCCTTGGGCAAGGGAAACAAAAGAAAAAATAAACAAATGGGACTACATCAGACTAAAAAGTTTTGCACAGTAAAGAGAACAATCAACAAAATGAAAAGACAGCCCACTGCAGGGAAGAACATATTCACCAATGATACATCTGATAAGGGGTTAATATCCAAAATTTATAAAGAACTTAATATCATCAATCATCAGAGAAATGCAAATTAAAACCACAATAAACCCTGGCTGGTGTGGCTCAGTTGGTTGAAGCACCATCCCATACACTAGAAGGTGACTGGTTTGACTCCCAGTCAGAGCACATACCCAGGTTACGGGTTGATCCAGGGTTGCGGCGCATGAGGCAGCAACTAATTGATGTTTCTCTTTTTCACTCTCTCTCTCTCTCTCAAAAATCAATTTTAAAAAACACCCAATGAGATATCACCTCACACCTGTCTGAATGGCTATTATTAATAAACTAGAGGCCCAGTGCACAAAATTTGTGCACAGGTAAGGTGCCTAGTGGCTGCCGGCTGCCAGCCGGGGCCTCCGTTCTCCGGCTGCCTGCCTCTGCCACCCTTAGCTCCCGCCTTGGCCTGGTGCCACCGCTCACCTGCTCCACCATCCCGCTGCAGTCCCACTCTCGTCAGGGCCCATTGGGGACGGCAGTGCCTCCACTACCACCTGCTGCCAGCGCCTCGTCTCCAACGCCTGCCATGTTCCATGCCGCCCCCTGGTGGTCAGCACATGTCTAACTCCCTGTCTGTCGAACTCCCACCCGTAGGGACAATTTGCATATTAGGCTTTTATTATATAGGATCAACAAGCAACAATTGTTGGCAAGGATGTGAAAAAAAGGGAACCCTTGTGCACTGTTGGTAGGAATGCAGATTGGTGCAGCCACTGTAGAAAGCAGTATGGAGTTACCTCAAAAAACTAAAAGTGGAACTGCCTTATGGCCCAGCAATTCCACTTCTGGGAATCTATCCGAAGAAACCAGAAACACTAATTCAAAAAGAATATATGCACCCATGTGTTCACTGCAGCATTATTTACAATAGCCAATATTTGAAAGCAACCCAAGCACCCATCAGTAGATGAGTGAATAAAAAAGCTGTGGTACATTTACACAATGGAATACTACTTGGCTGAAAAAAAAAAAAAAAGAAGAGAATCCTACTTTTTGCAACAGCATGGACAGACCTGGAGAAAGACAAGTACCATATGATTTCACTTATATGTGGAATCTAATGAACAAAACAAACTAACAAACAAAATAAAAAGATTCGTAGATACAGAGAATAGACTGACAGCTGTCAGAGGGGAGGGGGTTGGGGGGGGCAAGGTGGAAAAAGGTAAAGGGATTAAGCAAACCACAAATAAACTCATAAACAGACAATAGTATGGTGATTACCAGAGGGAAAGGGGGTGGGGGGAGGTAGAAGAGGGTAAAGGAGGGATAAATGGTGATGGAAGGAGACTTGAGATGGTGAACACACAATATAATATACAGATGATGTATTATAGAATTGCATACCTTAAACCTACATACTTTTATTAACCAATGTCACCCCAATAAATTCAATAAAGAAAGACTACCGTGGTTCAAATCCCAGCTCTACCACTAAGTAGCTTTGTCACCTTGTCCAAGTTAGTTATCCTCTCTAAGTTTCAGTTTCCTTCTCTGTGAAATGTGGTTGATAACAGTCTCTACATCAAGTCAAACATGATTTCTGGTTAGTAAGCAGGAAGAACCCTATAAATAAGATATATAAATGGACCTTATTAGGGGAGAGCATGATGAGAGGTTTACAGTTTGCGATAGAGACACTGGCAGGGATTAGGAAATTAGGTAGGCGTGCCGGTTTGGGAGGGAAAATTGGTAAATCCCAGTCACAGTTATATTGAATATGGTATAACAAAGACGTGTGAATAAAATGGTCTACAGATCTATGAAATTTGGAGCCAGAGCATAAGTGAGAACCTGGGTTCAGAGCTAAATGTACAGAACAGGAGCTATTATTGTGGCAGTTATAGCTCACCCCTGGGAAACAGATACAATCACAACGGGATAAAACATAGAGAGGAAGAGAAGTGAAAAGAGGTCTAAAGACTCAAACTTGGACACTGCCTGCAGCAACCAACGGCTCTACACTTGATTCAATCCTGTCTTGCATTATTCAGTAATGGTTTTATCCATGTCGCTTTTATTATCAAACCAACCATCATTTATTGAATGTCTAGGTGCACCAGACACTCTATAATGCACACTTTACTTATCACCCACTTTTGTCATCATACGAAACTATGAAACCAGTATCATTATCCCTATCTTACAGATAAAGAAAAGGAATCTCAGAGAGGCTTAACAATCTGCCCAAGGCGACTCTTTCCCCCTCCCCACGTGGGAGTCCGCTTGCTTCTCAAAAAATTTCCACTTTTGCTATATATATATATATATATATATATATATATATATATATATATATATATATATGAAATCTGCCCAAGACCAACCAGTAAATGAGTGGTACAGCCAGAATCTAAATCCAGATTTTTCTGGGTTGGATGTCTGGCTTGTGCCACTGCCAAACATCATGCTGCCTTCAACAGTTTTGATCCCTTCCTCAGACTGAGGGGCAAAGGCAGGGAACTTCGCTCAGTCTTCAAGACATGCACCTGTCTATCAGAGTTTCTGAGTTATTTCCAGCCCAGCTTACTAGGGGAGAGAAAAAAAAAAAAAACTTGACTGAAATGTGACTTGTTCAGTCTTATGTTGGATAATTTAAATATTGCTGAAATATGAAAAATAGTTCTGGGACTTAATTACTAACCGTGGGAACCCCAGCACGGGAATCAGCCCGGTTCCTGCCCCTCAGCCGTGGACACTACCTCGCGTGTTCCGGGCGTCAGGAGGCAGGGGCCGAGCTGGTGTGAACCGGGCGGGCCAGGAATGTCCTCCTGGGGCCTCCTCTCCGCAGGGTGCCCCTCGCCTTGGGAACCCCTCTTTCCACCTGAGGAGTCTTCCTCTTCTCATGAAGCTTTCACTCTCCTCACAGAACCCCCATTCCTCACGGAAACCACATCTCGGGAAACCCCCACGTCGCCAGGAACGTCCTCAGCTCCTAGGGAGCCCGCATCTCCCCACAGAACGGAACGCTCCTTCTCCTCGAATCCCCGTCTCCCCCCTCCTCGAATCCCCGTCTCCCCCCGAACCCCTCGTCCATCTCTTCCGCACAGAACCTGCGTCTCCTCACGGACCCCTCAACTTCCCAAGGGGGGTCCCCAACTCCCCGAGGCAACCCCGACCTCCTCTCGGAACCCCCACTCCCCCACGGAACCCGCCCGATTCCTCACTGCCCGGGGAGCCCATTCCTCTCCTCGCCGACGCCCCCAGCGCGCGCGGGCCCGGCCTCACCTCGCGGCTCCTCCACGGAGACTCGGTGCAGCTCGCGGTAGCGCTGCAGCGAGGAGACGTGCGCGGAGCGGCTGAGCTCGGGCGGCGGCGACCAACTCCGCGCCCGGCTCCGCGCGCCAGCCTCCTCCCGGCCCCCGCTGCCACTGCCGCTCCGGCCCCGCTCCTCAGGAAGCCCCATCGCGCCTCGTTCCGAGCGCTGTAACCGTCTTTGCGGTAGTTGGGGGAGCTCGGGGGCGAAAAACAGGCCGCCCGGGGTGGGGCCTTAGGAGAGAGGGCGGGGCCTGGAGGGTGGGCGGGGCTTGGGCAGGCGGGGCGGGGCTGCCCCGAGGGCCGGAGCCGTGCCTTCTGGGAGCGGGACCAGGGTGAGCAAAGGCACGAGTAGGGGAAAGGCGAGCGCTGCTCAGGTGCTCGGGGAGGAGAGGAGCTGACTCGCAGGAGGGGTGGGACCGTAGCGTGAAGTAGAAGGGGCGGGGCCGGGTGTGGCAGGAGAGCGGGGTGGATCCTTTATTGACAGAGGCGGGAGGGGGGCAGGCGTGACAGGCGAGGAGGCGGGCCCATGAAGTGACCAGGATGGGGTGGGGTTTGGGACTGACAGATGACAGGTTGGGTTAAGGCGGGGCTTGAACGGGAAAGAGCGTGGCTAACGACAGGAGGTGGGTCAAGTCCAAGGTGGAGTCTCCCCGTGGTCTGATTGCACAAGCCTGTCACCCACAGAGTTGAAAAGCCAGGTGGAGTAGGGGTTTTTTCTGGGTGTCTTCTGGGATCACTTTCCCTCAAAGCACTATCCCTCCATTCGGAGTAAACTCTTCCCCTCCATCCTCAGGAAAAAAAAAAAAATCCTCCCACGACGTCTAGGGCATGGCCCCTCTCTGTTAACGTTTGTGCTAGCTCAGATTTTCTCTCTCCTCCCCCCCCTCCACCGAGATTATACCTTCACTCTCCCTGGCTCCACAAATTCCCATCCAGCTCTAAAGTTCAAAATTCATTGAAGATTAGGAGGTGTGTCCAGGTCTTTGCTAATATACCTACCTCCTCATTGCACAAATGGTATATTCAGGGAAAGGAATGTGTGCAAGGTCCCAGAGCAAAACAACGACCAAGTTAGGGCCAAACCTAAGTTTCTTGACTCCAAGTCTTTTTATATCCTCACAAGCTAAGGCTTGTGAAATACTGTACCAAAGGCTATGCAAATAGGAGAAATTACTCATATCCTTCTTCCCTTCCCAGTCTCTTTACTTTCCCAAGAGACCACGCCCACCTGCCGCACCTGGGCTCAATTACCTCTAGCTGACCTCTAGCTGTTCCACTCCAGAAAGGAGGGGCCAGTCAGGACCCTCCATCTCCCACCTGCACTCACCACCAAGAAAAGCCCACACCACCCGTCAGTTCACAGAATGTCTGTCAAGGCAAGGAGGAACCTTAAATATTTAACTCCAAGAGTGATTTTGAGGCCCAGAGCTGACAACCCCCATCTCCTGAAGCCTACACAGGGTTTGTGACCACATCAGGCCCATCCCCCTTCCCCACCTGTTCCCTTGTTCTTTGCCCAGCTAACCACAAGCCCAGCACACCTTAAACTGAAAATAATACTTCCATGTTCAAACCTATGATCCAGAGCCTACCCAATCCTGAGGGGAGGGTCTCAGATCGCATGGACCCCACAGAGAAGATAGATGCTTTATCGAAGAGACATTACACTCAACAGGCACACACTTCACTGAAGGTACATGGACTCCACTAAGGGAGCAGAGATCTTGCTGAGGGGTCTCAGATCTCACTGAAGGGCTATGGACCCTGCTAATAGTACTTTAATGGTGTTGAAGGTCACAGACCCTACTGGGGGGACATGGGTTTCCCTCTAGGTCAGTGATGGCGAACCTTTTGAGCTCGGCGTGTCAGCATTTTGAAAAACCCTAACTTAACTCTGGTGCCGTGTCACATATAGAAATTTTTTGATATTTGAAACCATAGTAAAACAAAGACTTATATTTTTGATATTTATTTTATATATTTAAATGCCATTTAACAAAGAAAAATCAACCAAAAAAATGAGTTCGCGTGTCACCTCTGACACGCGTGTCATAGGTTCGCCATCACTGCTCTAGGAGATACCAAAGATATAGATTTTACTAAAAATATGTTGACCCCACTAGGGGGACTCACACCCCACTGAGGGAATGGACATCAATGACGGGACACAGACCTCATTTAGTTAAGACATGCCCTACTGGGGGGATAATACTTTACTGAAGCATAATAAGCCCTATGGACTTCACTGAGAAGATACTAGCCTCTCTGGGGGGAGAAAGGCACAAGCAATGGGCACACAGTCCCAGGTATAGACAGTCACAGCTTTGGGCAGCCCTCTTCCTCTCCCCTCTCCCCAAACCTTCTCCCAAGTCCTAGAGCTGTTCCCAACACATTACTGCCCCCTCCTGTCGACAGGTATCAATGCATGTTCTGGGCCCATAATAGATTCCCCACCCCACCCACTCCACCCACCCCTACCCGCCTTGTAGATTTTCAAACTGTCCTGGAGTGAAAGAGGGGATGTATGCCCAGGGGCTTGACCAGCCCCCTCCCTCTCCCTCCCTGTGAACTGTATGAAGAGAGTTTGGTCAAGAAGCCTAATAAAGAGCGAACCCCTCATCCTTGGAAATGGGAAAGTAGTGCAAGCTATACTGTAGTTGGAATTCCTAAGCGTGGGAAGAGGATGGGTAAGGTTGGATGAGATGAGAATCCACAAGGTTAAAGACATGAAAATAATGATAATAATGGCATTTATTGAGTAGGGCCAAGACCTACACTAAAAGCTCTCTACCTGGTGCTTAATCCTCACAACAACCTCCTGAGATGGATACTATTAATCTCTCCAGTTGTCAGATGAGGAAACCGACACCAAAGAAGATGAAGTGTCTGACCCAAGATCACACAGTGTGTAAGTGGTAGCACAGGAAATCGAACACAGACACCTAGACCACAGAGACCCACTCCCCACTTCCCCACCCCACCCCACTCCTGCCACACCGTCATGCCCATTGTTCCTTTCTTAAAGCGTCCTTTCCAGACCACATCAAAAACTCTTAAAATGATGGTAACTATTCAGGTTCCAGAGACCCCATCCCAGAGTCCTAAACCATGCTCTCTAGAGTGGAATCTGGGCGATTGCTCGTAGGGATCCTAAGACACACTGGGTTTAGGTCAGGGGTACCAGAAGGGGCTGGGCTTGGAAGAGGAGTCTGAGAAGTGGTGGGGGGCCAGTGAGGGATCTGACGTCTGAGAAGGGACGTCCAAAGGAGGGGCGCAGTCTGAGGATGAAGCAGGTGTTGGAGGGGGCCAGGGGCAGGGGGGTCAGGTCGAAAGAGGAATCTGGGGTCGGAGGAGTCCGAGATCGGAGGAAAAGGATCTTGGAATCCAAGAAGGGGTCTGGGATCAGAGGGGTCTGGGATCGGAGGAAGAACCGGGTCGAGGAGAGGTTTACGGCCAGTGGAAGAGTCTGGGGCCTGAGGAGGATTCTAGCTCCAACTGGAAGAGGGGATTTGGCCCCCGGCTGCATAAGGTCCTGAATCACTAAGGTCGCGCTTGTAACGTGCTCTTCTCCACGATCTCCCACTTCGCGACCCGGCATTGCCCTCCGGCCTCTGCAAACATAATCCCATCTCCACCTGCGCGCCTACTGCCCGCTGACAGCGCTGACAGCGCGGAGCCGGGCGGGAGCGAGTCAGACCCCGACAAGCGCTAGGGTGTGGGTGTGGGTGAGGCGCCCCCTCCCGGCGGCCCGGGAGCGCAGGCCCCTCCCTCCCAGCCACCCACCCCGGCCCCCGCCGCACCACTTCCGGCAGGCGCTGCGCTGCTGGGGGGCGCGGGTGAGGATGGCGGCGGAGAACCAGGCCAGTCAGGAGAGCGCCCTAGGCGCCTACTCGCCCGTGGACTACATGAGCATCACCAGCTTCCCGCGGCTGCCAGAGGATGAGCCGGCTCCCGCGGCCCCTCTGAGGGGCCGCAAGGACGAGGACGCCTTCTTGGGAGACCCCGATACAGGTGAGGCCCGCTTCCCTCCCCCAAACCCCCCCCCCCCCCCCGGTCCCTGCCCCCTGGGATGCCCCTGGTCCTCCATCTGCACGGAGCATCACCTCCAGCCTCCATCACCCGAATTCATTCCCTTCCTCCTGGACCTTTCTCTTCTCCTTTTTTTCCTGTTAATTATCTGATGGGGTTGGGAGTGCATCTCTGCCTTGGAGTCCTAGGATGCGACAAGGGAGAATGATGCCAGAGACTGCAGTAGGAGGGATGGGGGTTACCTTTTGGGAAGAACCAACTGAGCAGGAAGGAATGTTGGAGGGGAGATCCTGAGGCACAGCTGTGATCACCCAGAAGAGGCTTTTCTCTAGTCACAGAGAACAGGATAGCAGAAACCAAGTCGGAGGTTGCAGTAGGATGAATAGAGAGGCTAGGTCTTAAGAACTTCCCCACAGCCAGGGATGGTGGGAGGGAGTGACCATGGGGGAGAAGCTGGGAATCTCTTCGTGTCCAGGGAGGGATAACGAGAATATGATGCTGCCTGTCTGTGCGTGCTGGATCGTGGGATCCAGGGGGATGAACTGAATGACCTCTCAAAGTCCTTGGGGACCAGAGTGCCTTTGCTGCCCTGTGGTTTACCTCACCCCTACCAGAGCCATGGATCAGGCCGGGATGTTAGTAAGGTGCCCTGGAAGCAGGCTCCAGAATTTTACTGTGTTCTCTTCAGCCCTCTGCAGAGTCTGCAGGGGTGGGAGTAGGGAGGGAGGAGATCGTGCTTGGGGGAGACCTGAGGGCCAAAAGCTCTCTGAGCATTTCTTCCCTAGGGCTCTCTCTCTCTCTCTTGCTATCCATGTGGCCCAGCTCTATTCTTCATCCTCCATCCCCCATCCCTCTTTCCCTCAACGTCACTTCCTGGCATTAGAGCATCCTTCTGCTTCACTCTCTCTTCCTCCCAGTGCCTGCACTCGAGTCCTATCCCTTACCAGCCTGGCAGACCCTGCTTCTCTGGTTCAGCCCTCGCTAGCCTGGCCCTTCTATAGTTACTCCCAGTCTGACAGCCCCAAATTCTTTCCCCTTCCACAACTTTCTGGTTATCGGGCCCTGACCACCAGCCCCTGCCAACCTGAATAGACTGTACCCCACCTGGAGGGGGTGTGA